CCTAATCCGAAAACAACTCCTAGCCCTCCCTGTACCAGGACATTACATCTCACAGACAATGCCATCCTAACCAACCTACACGTCAACTTGTTTTCGTCTTATGTTTGAGAATAATTACCCATAATCATTTACTAAAAGGATAATTAGTAAGGCATCAAGTAACCTGTTGGATGCAAAATATCATGGACTAAAACTCACGTGGTGTTCAGATCGGAGGGTCAACTGCCTTTCTTTCTCAATGTTCTTTTCCATGATTCATAATCTGTGTGAAGGGGCTCCTCAAATGCCATGCAAGGCTGCCAGTGGAGATGTAAGAAACCGAAGTTATCAAGTCGGGCCCCAGTCATTTTGCCAATACAGAAGCACCTGATGCGAAGAATCATGGTAATTAGCATCTGAGTGCGTTCACTGCAGATTACCACTTGCAGCAACTTCTGCACTGAAATGTAGCGTACTACTTGCAGCGAAGGCACTGCTTCAGTGCAGTGCAGAAGTGCTCAGTGTTCAATCTGAGTGTAACGCACCAATCAGAGTATTGCTTTCTGAGCGGAGTCAGTGTGATGTACTACTTGCACGAGTGTTTCCACTAATGCAGTGTACTACTTCCAGCAATGAGCAACTGCACCTACCATCTGAGTGCAGTCACTGCAGTATGCTACTTGCAGGAGCTTCTGTACTGAGCTGTTGTGTGCTACTTGCAGCAACAACTAGTTCAGCAGCTTCTACAATTACTACAGTACCAAAGCAGTTCAATCTGAGTACACAGCACCAATTGATGTACTGCTTTCAGCATCTTCTATAAAAAACTACAACGCAAAAAAAGTCCAATCCTAGTACACTGCATCGCTGAACTCCTGTTAGTGCACTACAACAGATTACCACTTTCAGCAGCTTCCATCTGATGCACCATTGCAACACAGTGTAGAAGAGTGCAGCGCACTGAACTCCAGTACAGTCTACGACTTGCGGCAGACCAAGAGAAACATCAACAAGCTGCCATCCTGGTGGCATTCCTAAGCAGGCTACAATCAGTTTGCCACTTTCAACAGCTTCCATCTGAGTGCAATGCACCATTGCAATGTAGTGGAGATGAGTGCAGTGCGCTGAACTCCAGTGGCAGCCTACGACTTGCAGCAGACCAAGAGAGACATCAACAACAGATTAATCTGTTGCTGCCATCCTGGTGGCATTCCTAAGCCGATTCCAGCAAATGTGAAAACCATTTGATAGAAGTGGATATCCCTTCTGTGGTTGCATCTGATGCCATGTGCCCGAGACCCCATGTTTCCTTTCTCGGAGAATGAACCAACAGAGGCTGGATAACACTTAGTCTCATTGAAGTTCACTTGGAAGCTTTCTTACGTTCCTCACATGGCAAGAATGTGGAGAATGCGTAGTTTGGGCACAAATTTTCTAGCAGGAAAGGAAAGAAAAGAAAAGTGGCAAATAGAGCATGAGAGATGGAGATGACCGGACTTTCACACCAATAAAGAGCATGGCAACATTTCAAAGATTCCCAATGATGAGCATGGCCGAGACCCTCTACCTTTAATGGGGAAGCATCAGAGTTGCATCGCCAATGGACGACAACTCCCAACCGGTCGGCTCGCAACAAGCCGACTGATCAATCGGGTTGGAGCTACCAGACAGGGGGTCGTCTGCAACGATTCAAGTTCTTTTTTCTTCTTTTCTTCCTGTCCTCCTCCTCCTCCTCCTACACTACAATTTTTCATTGTTTGTAAAGCTCCTTTACATCTGCTTCGTTAACCTTCTGTACCTTGAGATTCCGCTTCTATAGAGCTCCTCGCTGCCCAATTCAGCCGAGTACCACCCGAGTTGCTGCGTATAAAGCTTAGCCCCGTCATCCATGACATCACATGAATAATACTTTGCAGTTTTCACTTACGAAATCTTCGGAGAATCAAGATCTGAACGGTGAGTAGAGTCGCCTTGTATATCCCCTACCACTTCATGCAGCCGGATCGACAAGAGATGACCCCTGTATGAAGCCACTCTCCTTAATTAGTTTTCAATCAAGGATATACGAGATACCGCATGGGATGACTTTTTAATTTTCAACAGTGAAATCTTCACAGAATCAAGATCTGAACAGTGAATAGGGTACGAGTTTGCATCCTGTAACACCTTATCCAGCCCGACTGACAAGAGGCATTCCCTGTCTCAAGCACACTCCTCAATTACTTTCTAAGTTTTAAAATCAATGATGTACGAGTTACCGTGTGGGATTACTTTTCAATGATCAATGGTGAAATCTTCAGAGAATCAAGATCTGAACTATGAACAGGGTCACCTTTTTATCCCCTGCCACCTCACGCAGCCCGATTGACAAGAGACATACCTGTCGGAAGCTTCTCTCCTCAATCAGACCAAAAGGAATGATGTTTGGCCCTGAGAGGCAGGACAAAAGAACTCAGGGAGATGCACACGGTGGCCCGAACAGAGAACCAAATACAACAGCATACAGGGAACAGTACGTAGTCACGTTGTCCAATCAGTTCCACCCCTGAGGAAGCTAGAAGGTGGCTCTGGTCCAAACGCATAGAGGTTCTGACAGCTACAGCAGAAGGATGATGCAGATCTTGACCCATGAGAGGAGACAGCTACAGTTAGGTCCCGCTGCAGGGGGAAAGGGTTGTTTGGATGGTAGTGGCTATGTCACGTCCTGCTCGTTCGACACGCCAGATATGGCAGAAGAAAAATGCAGATCTTGAGTAAATCTCCTGACATGCCAGCTACAGTAGAAGAATGACACAGATCTTGATGCCTACGAGGACAGCGGAGGTTTGGCGAGAGTGGTTACGGCGTGCTGTCATCAGGGAGGACAGGGTGGTTATGGCGACAGTGGCTGGTCCTGTTCAGGTCTTCATCTTTTGACATCCCAGCCATGGCATAGGAAAAATATGAAACTTTAGTGGATCTTTTCTTTTGACTTGCTGGGCTTAGTTTGGACCAATCCATGCTGGGCTGGGGAGAAGTATGACTTAACAAGCTTCAGTGAACTTAAGTCACTTCTAAGTGTCTGCTTTTTTCCAAGCATATAGCCGCAAGTAGTCACAGACCGGAATTTGTGAGTGGCTACATCCATATGGTGACAAGCAAAGCAACTGAGGTGCACTGCCGGCACATGAGGTGGCCGCAGGATGTGCTTGTTGGGTCATACAACAATCCATGATGGGGTGAGGTTAACCCCGACGCACCTAACTTATTGGTTAAATGTCTGGTTCACGAGCCACATGTCTTGTGTGGTATTCGTGTGTGGCCATGTCCGTAAAGATCTTGAAACCCAAGAGGAGAGACCAGTTGGTAGGAGGGCAGGCAGGGGAAGGATGTTTCGCTAGAGTGGTTAGTTGGATCGTGCTTCTAGCAGAAGGAAAATGTGATCTGTTTGGCATTACATCATTTCGCTTTGATGTTGATCCTTGCATCTGTCATTGCCCGTGATTTCTGCAGTGCTTGCGACTGTTTTGCAAAGTGATGTGTTCTTGAGCACCCATGCGAAGATGCGCAGCACCTTGTTCTGTTAATTTCTATTCTCAATCCAATTGCACTGTGCGTTTTTCCTGAAGTGTGTTTTGCCTGATTGACTCTGTTTGGTTTGAGCTCACTTGGTGAAAAGGAACACGACAGACTTAAGAAGTTAAGACCTGTTCCTACGGCCCTACGGGTTATCAGTTCAAGTCCGATAGTGAGCATACTCGCGTAGTGAAACTTTCTTAATGGCAAACACGACAGGCTAAAACGCTTCGTCGCTTCAGAAACAAATGAGAAAATAAGCAGGAGAAAAACCAAGCACGAAAACTCAACAGCATATGAACCTAAGACTGTAACTCAACATATTTTCCCTACCCCTGTGTGAGTGCACGTGATAACAGCACACATCGGATCACCACTCCTATCCAGATGCATACCCCAATCTTTTTTTAGGGGTTGTGCACACACATAGTTTGAGACACAATCACATGCTTGCCTGTGAACGCTGCCATCTTCACTGGAGCCACTCTATCCAGGCATGTCCAAGGTTGATTTCCAGGCATGTCCAAGGTTGATTTCCCCTAGATCACCGGGGCTGTTCACACTTTGCTGCAGTGCTGAATAATGAGAACGTCAGCAAATCTGAAATGTGGGACAATGTTTCGGTGCCAAATGGCTTTGCTCTCCCCCTTCTTGTGATGCTGCTTCTTCACACAACTACCTTCTTAAGAACCTCGAATGCCCCGCACAGGAAGCCCAACAAATCCCTTTGTTCACTCTGGTTTGTTGGGCATACTGCCTCAGCGACCCCAACCGCCCGGTTTTCACTGCCAGGCTGAACTAGGATGCTGTAGACATCAACCAGACAGCTCTGATGAAGCAGGCAACATGCAAACGGGTGCCCATGACATGCCTCTACGTTTTATCCTGTCCAATGCTCGGTGATAGGTGAGGTCATACCTCCATTAGACAGATATACCAGGGAATCAAAAAGCAAAACCATCTGCAAGAAGAAAATGAGACAGAAAAGCCCTATTGTTTCCCGGGTTTTGTGCGTGCTATTGACGGCCAAAACTCTCGCCCAGAACTCGCACAGTGTGTAAGTGGGCAAAAGTGCAAATACCTTCTGGAACCCACGAGAGTGTCAATGCGCAGCTGCCAAAAACGAGCAGGCTGTGCTCAGCGTTTTGCTGACAGTTAGTTTCAGCTGTGGATCGTGAGTGTGAAGCCTGCGCAAAAGGTAGGGTTCGCTTTTGGGCATCTCCACGATGGGCAAAACATGAGGGATATGCTTGATTGGACTGTATATCACTGTCATTGGGTGATTTGAAACCAAATTGAACCAATATTGATTTCATTTCTTAACTCGTCAACACACGATTGAAAAAAGAGCTTTGCCAATAGGAAACCAACTGCAATTAAGAAATAAAGGTTGCCTGAAATTCCAGAATTTCAAGTTCTCAAAATGGGGGGGCAGATTTTCCAGGCCCAGAGAGCATGCTGCTCACCAGTAGCTCAAAGTTGGTCTTGCTTGCACCCACTGAGACTCCTACAGGGGCCCTTTTATTGAACCCGTCATTGCTAATGACACCCCCCTTTCCCAGTTCCTTTTGCCCAGGCCGTTCTGCAGCTGTAGTGCCTGCTGATGCAGCACTCTTCCCCTCATCCACCCTCCTTTTCAGCACACCATTTACAAATCCTTTCACCCCTCCCGCTGCATCACCCTTTTTTGCCAGAATCTTGGCAGCCCATTGTGCTGTGTCAGTCTTTTTCCCACTATCCGTAACTGTCACCCCCCCTGCTGCTCCAGCAGTATCGTTAGCAATCTTCTTCACAGCTTGTGCACTCTTCGCACCAACAGAACGGCCGGATGGGCCCATCCCTGGGGTATCTGTCCCTGCAACTGCTGCTTGTCTGTTAGGCACTGCTTGTTCCACATTGACTGAACCACCTGACTCTTTTTCCGGCCCAGCAAGGCCCGGTCTTCCTGGAGGTTTTGTGGACTTCTTTCCCACTGCGCCCATTCCTCTCCTGGTCGAACCTTCGCCATCTTCCACATCCCGATTGCTCCCTTTTGCACTTCCTTCTCGATGTCCTGAAGACCCTGGAGTGGAAACACCACCAGCACCAGCGGCGGCGGAAACTCCCCCATCTGATCTGCAAATCCTCTTAGCAGGCTTCTCATCCTCATCCCTCCGTGCCATTAAGGATATGCCACCGGGACAAATCCTATCCCGCAAGGAGTTTCCCTTCTGCCCACCACCACCACCACCGATGATGCCAGCCACAGACCCTTTCCCTGCTATGGGGGGATTGCTGGCAGCAGCTTTGACAGATGAGCCCGGTGTCAACCCCTGTGTAGGAGCAACAACCTTCTTCGCAGCATTTTTCACTGACAACCGCATTGCCAATTCCGGATCTAACCCTTTCTTGCCCCCTTTCTGCAGCTTTTTCAGGAGAGAATCTCTTGATCCCCGCCCAGGCACAGGTGCTCTTTCCCCTGAGGGAACACCACCACTCACCACTGGTGGTCCACTCTTTGCCGGTGCACTCTGCTCCTTCTTTGTTTGCTTGCCATCAACCACCCCTCCTCCGTCAGCCCTCTCTTTCAACGTCTTAGCCCGCCGAGCTGGCTTCTGGAGAACAACCAAAGGCAGATCATCGATATCTGCTTCTGCTTGGAGAAGCAAAGATGTCTTCGCACCCATTGTGGCTGGCTTGCTCTGACCCTGGCTCTCTGAACTTGCCTGAGGTCCGGCAGCACCTTCGACCTCCACACTATCTGCCCTTGATGGAGTGTTTGTAAGTTGTGCACTTGCGCCTTTTCCTGCACCTTGAGATTCTACCCGTCCAGGAGCGCTCGTCAGATCCTTGGTATTCTGGTTTTCCGAACTCATCTGAGAGAGGTCCACAACTCCAGCCTCTCGGCTATCCTCGACCCTTGCTGGTAGAGAACTAGAGGGTTTATTTGCAACTCTACTGTCTTCAGGCCTTGAGGGCAAACAAGTAGCGTTTCTTTCCACATCTTGGCTTTCCTCTGGCCTTGGTGTTGTGATCTGAGAGGCTGTGTCTGCAAGTCGAGGCTCATCAACCCTTGACAGCAGTAAACCTGATGCCTTCCCTGCAGCTCTACTCTCGTCAGGCTTTGAAGGGAGAGAGCTGGGGGGATTCCCATCTGGACATTCTTCAGGCTTGGATTGCAGAGAGCTAGCAGTAGTTGGAACATCTCGAGGTTCGTCAGCCTTCATTGGCACTGAAACAGAAGAGGCTACTAGATTCTGGCCATCAGATGAATCCTTGAGCGGACCACTGGATGCCACTCCTGCATCTTGGATCCCTTTCAACTTTGTAGGAAGAGCACCGCCAAGTTTTTCAACATCGCGAGGTGTGCCAAGTGATGAGATATTATCCTCCTCATTAGGAACTGATTTCGGTCTCAAAGCATCATGCACATCCAGCTTTTCAGACTTTGCTGTTGGACAACCGGCTGCATTTGCCAGCTCTGCGGAGCTCCCCTTCACTGTAGCCCCAGTCCTCTCAAGGTCTGTTTCTGCTTCGAAACACACAGCTGTGGGCTGCTGGGGAACACTTTGTGTAAGGCCTCGAGACCAGCCGCGACCGGCACTTTCACTGTTCAGCATTGTGGGGAGGTTTTTAATGCTTCTCTCCCGCATGCTCAATGTTCTCTTCAGGCTTCTGCTCCTGGCAATGACCTTCTCCTTTGCCTCCTTCAACTTCTCCTCCTTGGACTTTTCCTCTGGCTTCAAGATGTTTGGAGTGCCAAGCATCGCCGCGGCAGCAGAGCGATTCTCTTCACATGGGGCTGATGCTCCAACCTTACTTGGCTGTACACTAGTCGCCAGAGAAAGATCCTTCTTGATTCCTGAATCATCTCTAGGGGATGACGATTTACCTGAGCTGGACCCATCCTTGCTGCTCTCCTCTCCAGGGTGGGAGACAGAGGAGGCACCAGATGTTGAACCTCCTGGAAGAGATTTGGAGTCGCCTGCTGTAGATGTTGGACCACGCGGTAGCGGTCCTAGCCTGTCTGGCACATCCGCCGCATACACTCCACCCACTCTTCGTCTCTTCGTCTCTGCACTGTAATAGAGAAATTAGCATCAGTCAATCGACGCCATCTGAGAATCACATATATGCACACACACACACACACACACACACACACACACACACACACCACCACCACCACCACATACACACCCCTGCCAACTGTGTTCACGTGGTAGCGCTGAGGATTGCCGCATAGACAGGTGAGCCGGCCTGCATCCAGGGAATCGCTTGTTGACAGTTTGTTTCATTACAGACCGTTGATCACCTTTCTATTCGTTTTCCACATATGCTCTTCATTATCCTGCACTGTCTGAAACCTTGATTGGAAAACTCTTCTACAACTGGATCTTTCGTCAGGGATGCTCCTGTAACCAACTGCTATGCATACATCGACAATCAGTTCCGTTTCTCCAAAAGAAGGCTTTCTGGTGTTATTTTATGTTTTTAGTACTTTTTACCGCGCAAAGAGGCTGGTTAAACTCTCCACTGCTAAAGGGTGTGCATAATCTTGATTCATTCGTTTCATCGCCCACTCGTTGATCCGTTTGTCCATTTCATTTGTTCATTCATTCCATTCTTTCGTTCTTTTGATCTTTTGATCTTTTGATCTTCTGTTTTTTTTTTTTTTTGCTTTGTTTCTTTGAAAATTTTGCTCATTTCTCCATTCAGGGCACTTGGACCTTTTTCTGCAAAATTTTTGGCCTTTGCCATCATGGAAAAGTGAATTTAGTAATTTACCCTCAGGCAGGTCACACTGGCATCGCATTTTAGATGAGACACTGTCATGGCGTTCTGCCAATTACGCATTTCGGTCGCAGTGTGACACTGCGACACGGCAACTGAAGCTAATCGTTTTTCCCCCCGCAATTTCCTGGCCTCCCCCTGTACCCGCCTTCCTTTTATTCTGTCCGTCTCCTTGGTACAGCAGTGCTGTTTTCATGAAACAATTTCTGTCCTTTTTGCTTTGAAAGGCAGAGAAAAGAAAAGGCATTTATGGTCACCTCCACAGGGGTCCCGCACACTCCTAAACCCCAAGTGTCTCAACAGGCCACTGACGATAACCACCACCACATACAATTTTGGTGGTTGACGGGTCACTGTAGAATGTAACACGCGGCAAATTTTGTGACTTTGTGAAAAGAGGTCATACTGTGAGCATGACCTCAGTCATCAGTGGATTCCTTTACTCCGCCATTATTTTGCCTGTTCATTCATTCCTTTATCCATATGCCTATTTGTTCATGTGAGCCAAATTCATCCTGCATATCTTTCATTGGGTTGCTCAGGACATAGTCACACTACCGTCTTTCATCGTGCGGTCATTATGGGTATATCTAGACTGAGAGTGGCACCAAAAGCAGCTATAAGGACCGTACATATAATTCGGGGCAAGACGGTAGGACTACCTGGACATATCCATCCTCAATTACCTCCAAATTCGGTCGAGGGAGTACAGGCAGGAGAATGCTCGGTATGCCATCGTTCATTCTGTCATTTTTTGGTTTCGTTGTTAACTTTTCATGTGTTGTCTCATCCGTTCTCCACTTGCTGTGTTCTTTCACTCCACTGATTCAATAACTCCTTCAGTCCTCTTGTTCACTGGATTGTCTATTCTTCATCTCCTGGTTGTCCATTTTCGTTTCTTCCGTCCTTTTGTTCCTGTTTCCTGTTTTCATTTCTTTCTTCTTGCTCTTTCATTCCTTCAATCATTTGCTCATGATCACTTGTTCATCCATCACCTTATTTATTCATTGGCTACAATGGCTAGAGAGTTCTCTCATTATCTCAGACTTCTGTTCGTCCTTTCGATTGTTTGCTCATTCGTCCATTCTTTTATGTACTTGTGTACTACCAACTCACTTGCGTTGGGCGTTGCAGACTGTCACCAGAACCCCTCTTCCACCTGGATTCATAGATCCAACTCGAAACAGCGTTACCTTATGATCTTGTATCCAGTTATCCCCAACTTATCCGTGCTATTTGAAATAATTTGGTGTTTCGCTAAATGTACTATTTTGATGAACGGCCGTTTCATTGTTGTATTCTGAATGTTGCAAGGTCCACCATGTCGATGTACTCAAACCATTTCAAAGGCAACTCTCAGAGACGCAGTCACGCAAGCGGCCACATTTTCAGTAATGTACCAGCCTGCTGTGCGGAGGCGAATTCATCCAGGCAAAACCAGCTTGTGCACAGCCCCGTTTTGCCTGGACAAATAATGCGCAGGAGGCCGGTGCATCCCGAAGTACAGAAATTTGGTTGAGCAACGTACTGGGGATTTGAGCATGGGCTGCATACAAACCTGTTTGCCTTTCAGCACACCTGCACCTTATATTTTGTCTGTGGTCTCAGTGATACTCATTCGTACAAGGTTACCTGTTGCGGCTTCGCCCACAAAAAAATGAAGGGAAAAGGGTGCAAATGAGGGTGGATAGGGGTTTGTTGGTCGGGTGTGGGTTTGCGTGGGGTCGGTGTGGTTTTTAGGCTCACCCGTGCATTGTTGTTGACACTGCCGATGGAATGCTGCCGCTGCTTTGTAAACCTTGGATATATATATATATATATATATTTTGCTTTTTTGTCCTGTCAAACACCTGATCACAGTTTGCAATCCTTTCAGTTGTGGTTTGCTGGGTTGGTGATTGTCCGGATTTGAATGTGTCACACTTCGCATACCTGTCTCCCGCTAACCAAAAATATTCTTTCTCAGGTGTCAGGAGATCCGCAATTCTGCTATCGTGCCGGGGGGAGGGCGCGGACCCCGCAGTTAGTTAGATTGGTCTCTCTCTCTCTCTCTCTCTCTCTCTCTCTCTCTCTCTCTCTCTCTCTCTCTCTCTC